AATATCTTCCAGGGGCTGAAAGGAAACATCTACAAACCTAGAATTTTATACCCAGTAAGAAAATCCTTAAAAAGAAAGGTAAAGGAAATTTTTAGTGAATTGAAACTGAGGTAATACATCCTAGACAGGTCCATACTGAGAGAAATAGTGCTTTCTTCAGGTATATGAAAAATATTCCCAGAATAGAAATAAGGAAGGAAGGAAAGAAAGAAGGGAGGGAGGAAGGTAAGAAGGAAGGAAGGGAGAGGAGATAGATATGAATAAGATGATAATGCATAGTATAGCTTAAAATATAAAATGAACTGAAATGTATGTGGATAATACTAAAAATAGGGGGATAAATCAATATGACTAAAAGGTTATAAGCCCATTGCATTGTCCTGGAAACAGAAATAAAAGTTTATATTATATTTTGTAAGTCAAAGGTGCATGTTATAGCTTCTAGATTAGTATAATTAAAATATTTAAGTTATGTATGACAAATAAACTAACGGTTAGGAGACAGCAGATAAAAATGTATTTAATTCAAAAGAATAAAAGAATGGAGAAAAACATCAGTTTATACAGTTGACATAAGTCAAAGCCAGTAGTAAGATAGCAGACTTAAATATGTTTACCAGTAATTAGACTAAAAGTTCAATTTAACAAGATAGACTGGTCAGAAATTAAATAACCACATGTAACTTATGAGAGGCATGCCTTTATTAAAAAGAAAAAGGTTGAAAGTAAAGGATTGAAAGAGATAAATGCCACAGGAAAACATGAAAAGGAAATTATTGCAAGAAGACTTCTATATATAAATAGGAAAATTATAAAATGGTAAAAGAGTCAATACACCAGGAAGATAAAACAGCCATAAGCTTCAATGTAATAATATCATTTTTAATTTTATTAAACAGAAATGGCTGGACTCCAAAAAGGAACAGAGAAATCCATACTCAGAAAACTTACCGTAATTTACGCAGAAATAGAAGGCCAAGGAAACAAAATAAAATTAAGAAGGACATGGAAGACTTAAATGCTAGGAATAACAAACTTGTATGTGTGTGTATATTGCTAAATATTATAATTTGTGTTGTATGTAGCTGTATATCTATTACTCTCACTGGTAGTACTTGGTGGTATTTTCAGGATGTGAATGCTTAGTCTTATGGGTAAATATTCTGCATGTTCATGAAATGACAATATTCTCAAATTGGTTATTGTAATGTTCTATATATGTCCAAGTTTACTGGTTGTATTCTTTTTCTTTTTTGTTTGCTTGTTTTATCAGTTACTGAGGAAGTTACATTGTATTCTGCTATGAGTAGCAAATTGTTTATTTCTTCTCAGAACTTATAACTTTCCTTCCTTCCTTCCTTCCTTCCTTCCTTCCTTCCTTCCTTCCTTCCTTCCTTCCTTTCTTCCTTCCTTCCTTCCTTCCTTCCTTCCTTCCTTCCTTCCTTCCTTCCTTCCTTCCTTCCTTCCTTCCTTCCTTTCCTTCCTTTCTATCTTTCTTTCTTTCTTGGCCTGTGAGGCTTGAATTCTGGACTTGGGCGCTGTCCCTATGCTCTTCAGTTCAAGGAAAGTGTTCTACTGCTTGAGACACAGCACCACTTCCAATTTTCTGGTGGTTTAGTGGAGATAAGAGTCTTACGGACTTTCCTGAGATCTCAGCCTCCTGAGTAGCTAGGATTACAGGCATCAGCCACTGGCACCCAGTGAGCTCATCACTTTCTTGCTTCATATGTTTTAAAGTTATTTCATTTATATATTTAATCAGACTAAAACATTTAGTACCTTTCTGCTACAATCATTTAGCATTGCTTATAATTTATTTTTATTTCTGCCAGTGATGACTGTTAGGGCTTATATTTACTTGAAATGTCACAGAAGGTATTTGTCATGTCATTTGTAAAATGGTAGTTTCCCTGGTGAAAAACTCTAGGTTGTCTTTTATTGCCTTTTGATATATTAAAGTTATCTTTTCCTTGCCTTCTGAGTTGTACAGTTATCATTGTGCTGCTATTAGTAATTTCTTACTATCATTTTCCCATTTTACAAATTTTATTTCCTTATGTGTCTTAAGATTTTTTTTGGGGGGGAGGCTGGTCGTGGGGCCTGAACTCTGGGCCTGGGCGCTGTCCCTCAGCTCTTCTGCTCAAGGCTAGCACTCTACCACTTGAGCCACAGCGCCACTTCTGGCTTTTTTCTTTTTGCTTATGTGGTGCTGAAGAATCGAACCCAGGGCCTCAGGCATGCAAGGCAAGTGCTCTACCACTGAGCCACCTTCCCAGCCCCTCTACGATGTTTTTAAAACTACCTCTTGAAGCCAGCACTGGTGGTTCATGTCTGTAAGCCTAGCTACTCAGGAGGCTGAGATATGAGTTTTAAGCTAGTCTGGGCAGAAAAAGTCCCCGTGAGACTCTTATCTCCAATTAACCACTCAGAAACTGAAAGTAGTGCTGTGCTTCAAAGTGGTAGAGAGCTAGCCTTGAGCACAGATGAGGCTGAGGGATAGCACTCAGATCCCGAGTTCAAGTCCCACAACCACCAACAAAAAAAGTACCCTTTTGAGGTTAATTTTGGATGCTGTTTTTCATTTGGAAAGTTTCTAATTACTACTAATTAAATCTGTTATGACTTCTGGTTTTTTCTTTCCTGAAAATATTTTAAAGTCTCCTGAAAATATTTTAAAGTCTTCTATTTTTAACTATTAAATCTTTATCCAATAATTCCAGAGTCTAAGTTTGCTAGTAAGGTTTTGTTATGTCATTTCAGCTGCTTTTTTTTCTCACAGCTGTATATTTACATGCATGTCAGGTTTTCTTTGATTTATGATAGTCATTACTCTGAAAATATCATTTGTCAGAAAAGCTTAGATGAAGGTACTTTCTTTCAGGATAGATTTTTATTTACTCCTGTTAGTGCCCAAGTTCTACAGCCTGTTAACAACTTTAAATAAAATTTAAGACTTGAAGGTCTTTGGATACTTAGAGTATGTGGTTATAGCTGAAAATATGCAGGATGTCCAAGATACAGTCTTAGTTTATTGGTATATATTTCTTCCTGTTTTCTCCTCATCATTCCTCTGGGCTGGAGAACAGAAGGGTTTAGTTTTGATATACCAGTAGCTAGAGAATTTGGTTCTTTGGGGTTTAATATTAATATACTTTGGAGGTCTTATGACAATTGTGTTTTGGGTACATCCTGGTTTTTAATACTTTCCTCTTCACTTCATACTTTTCTTAATTTTTGTCCAAATTTGTGTTGATGAATGGTTTTAAAACAAAAGGCAAATCCAATATTATGCTCACCTCTTTTAGGTTAGGTTCCATCCAGAATTTGTCCCAAGAGTTTGTAACTATCTTGTCAGATTCCCAACTCCTTTCCAAGATAATTGTTTTAATATTTCATCCAGAATGTTTAGTTGATTTCAGTAGCATGACTGCTGTGAATAATTTAGGATGCAATTAACTGCTATTCCCTATTATACAATTTGATCTCTAACAGACTAACATCTAAGTAATACTCAAATGCTTTAGTATAGGTCTTAAATCTTGACTTCCCAAAAATTTGATATGATATATATATATCATTGATTTTGGAAGAAAATTATTCAGAAATAAGATCTATGAAGTATTTAGTAGTAGGACTAAGGCACATGCTTTTTCCCAAAATATTTACATAATCAAACTTTATTAAAGGGGATATTTGTGATTTTACTTGACATGAAACAGTGGTCATATTCCCATATTTTGGTCATTCCATTTGATAAACATGTTTTTAAGAGAAAATAAAATGTGGAAAGAAATAAGATATAACTCATATATATATATTTTTGGGGGGGGTCCAGTCGTGGGCCTGAACTGTGGGCCTGGGCGCTGTTCCTCAGCTCTTCAGCTCAAGGCTAGCACTCTACCACTTGAGCCACAGCACCACTTCTGGCTTTTTTTCCTGCTTATGTGGTGCTGAGGAATCAAACCCAGGGCCTCATGCATGCCAGGCAAGCGCTCTACCACTGAGCCACCTTCCCAGCCCATAATTCATATTATTAAAAGATATTTAACAGTAGATGAGTAGACCATCAATTATAATGCCATGACATTCAAGCTAAAATTAGAATACATCCATATGCCATAGGAAACACAGAAAGGAAGCAAACAACTTAGTATGGCATTTGTCAGAGTATAGGGTAGGCAGGGATGTCTTCCCATAAAGGATATTTAGCAGAATAATTAATCAACAAATTGGGAAACAAGGGGGTGTAGAACTAGAGAATGGGTATTTCAGTCACAGTGAACACCATAAAAAAAAATGCCTGGAGGAATAAGAATGCATACAGGTCAGGCTCAGTGGCTAATGCCTGTAATTCTTGCTACTCAGAGACCAAGATCTGAGGATCGTGTTTGGAAGACAGCTTGGGCAGGAAAAGTCTGTGAGACTTTCATTTACAATCAACTACTCAGAAAAAGTGAGAAGTGGGGTTGTGGCTCAAGTGTAGAGCTCTAGCCTTGAGCAAACAAGCTCAGGGATGGTGCCCAGGCCCAGAGTTTGAGCCCTAGAACTAGTAAAAAAAAAAAAAAAAAGTAAGCAAGCAAGCAAGCAAACATAGAGGCTGCTGAAAATAGTTTTAGTTAGTTGAAGCATACCGTATATAAGTGCAAGTATTTTGTCAGATTTCCAGGTAAATCAAATCCATTTAGAGGGAATTGAAAGATAACTCAACCTAATGGTGACGATTTTATATTTTATCCTAAGGAGATGGAGAATCAGTAAACATGAAAAGACATCAAAGCAACTATTCCACTAAATATTATCACTTATACATCTTTTGGAAAAAGAAGAAATCATTTGTAATATCAACACCCAAGCACACAAATACAGTTACAGTGTATTTATGTATTTATTATTTATTATGTATATATATATAACTCTTAAAAACAGTTCCATGAACATTTAAAATCATTAAGTATGTGGTGTTTTACTATAAAATTAACTTATATTAAAAATAGACTGAAGTGTTATATGAGAGTGAAGAAAGTTAGCATTCCCTTTGAGAAGGACAGAAGAGACTTTTGATCCTGATAACATACATATGAGTAAGGCATTGCCATCTATTTTGTGGCATCTAATCATCATTCAATAAACCAATTCATAAAGTGAAATTTACTAAAATATACAATTCACCATTTTTGTTTTTGATTTAAAGTCCTACACTATTACAAAGTATTTGTCATCTTAGAAAATGACAATTATAGTGGGACTACGATAACTCAGCTTGTTTCCATATTAAATGGTGGCTATATGATAGATGTTCACAATAGCTGTGCACACTAGGAGTGGAAAATTGTGAACTTAGAAAATAAAACTATTTCCAATGAATAATTATTTAGATTACTATATAATTAATTAAGCTAAAATCATATCAAAGTCCCTGTATAGTTGATGTGGATCCAAATAATTACACATTTTATATTCACCAGTGGTAAAACAATTAAATGGCCAAGAGAAATGCTCATAAAATCAGTACATATGAAATATGTAGGAATACGATTTTAATGAGATGAAAGGGAAAATAGGAACTTTGTTGAATAATATTTAAAAATCTTGCATAAATGTGTGGTGGTATAATGCATTCGTAGACTTATTTTGTATGTGTATGTGCGTGATGATTCTGGGGCTTAAACTCAGTGTCTGGGCACTGTCCCTGAGCTTTTTTGCTCAAGACTAGTACTCTACCACTTGAGCCACAGTTCTACTTCCAGGTCTTTGATAGTTAATTGGAAATAAGAGTCTCAGGCTCTTTTTGCCCAGGCTGGCTTTGAATCACAAGCCTCAAATTTCAGCCTCCTGAGTAGATAGGATTGCAGGCAGTATTCATCCCTGACCGGCTCATTAGAAAGAATTTTGCAAAATTGTATTTTTCCAAAATTAGCTGGATTTGGTCCTGTGGCAATCTTTTTTTTTTTAAACAAGATTACTATTTTATTTTAACATGGCAAGTTTTTTCCCCCCAAAAAATTACACTTAAAAACAAGCCTGCAAGCCAGCCTAGGCAGAAATTTGTGTAAGACTCTTATCTTCGATTAACCACCAAAAAGCTGCAATTGGAGCTGTGGTTCAAGTGGTAGAGTTCCAACTCTTGAGCAAAAGTTAAGGGGGCAGTGCCCAGGTCCTCAGTTCAAGTACCAGTACCAATACACACACACACACACACACACACACACACACACACACACACACACACACACACACACACAAGCATGTGGAAAAAATAGAGTTTAAGTATAGACATTACAGTAGGGAAATTATACAGTATACAAGCTGGAAGAAGGGAGATTAGACTACTACTAAAATATTCAGTTAAGAAATTATGGAGATTTACACCTATCTTAGGAGAAAGAAATCTAATATGATTTGACGGAGAGAATTGGTAGGGTTAAGTTTCTAAGTATGAGGAATACAGTAGAACAACAAATAGAATCTATCAAGGTTCTTGGAAATTATGAGTTCAGTTTTAGAAATGTCATCCAAGAAAAGGTGGATATTAGTTGAGTTCACTGATCAGAGAAAGGCTGGATTGCAAAGACTGATTTAATAATATATAAAGTTAATACTAGATGAGACAATGGGGTGTCAATGGAACAATAAACAATGTACAAAGAGATAAGAGAAAGAGAAGACTAAAATCGTGTGCAAAGTATTTTAATGTCAGAGAGAACGAAAGTCCACAATATAATAAAGAAATAGTAGGAGATGAAGATAAAATCCAGGAAAGAATGCTTTATACCAATCAAATGAGGAAAGTTTGCTGGGCGCCGGTTACTCAAGCCTGTAATTCTAGCTACTCAGGAGGCTGAGATCTAAGACTCGCCCTTCAAAGCCAGCCCTGGCAGGAGGCCGTGAGACTTTTATCTCCAATTTACCACCAGAAAACCGGAAGTGACGCTGTAGCTCAAGGGGTAGAGTGCTAGCCTTGAGCTGTAGAGCTGAGGGATAGCGCCCAGGCCCAGAGTTCAATGTCCACTAACGACCCCTCCCCCCCAAAAAAGAGAGAAGTTTGAAGAACAGTTGGCTGCAGTTGTAGGAATTCACAGAAATCAAAGAGATCTCTGACATATTCATTATGATGCTGTTGCACACTCTGCCAAAAGCAGCTTCAAAGGGTAAAGACAAGAATTCTCTTATAAGCTTATGTTTAGTTGACAAAGGGCTGGTAGGAGAGAAAAAGTTGGTGATGAGAAAAGTTGGTAATTAAAGGACTGAGGCTTCTTAGGTGGAGTTGAGGATCATATTTTCTACTTCAAATGATTTATGTTTTATGTATTTGAAGACCACAACTATCCCGGCTACTATAGAAATCTTTTCAGAATTTTTCTAGGTAGAGTAGGATAAAGCATAAGTATAGTGTTCTAATTAAATGTGGCTTTGGAGTTTATTCCTTTAATTTATGTAGTCATACATTCTAAAAGTAACTATCAGATTATTTTGCCTTGAAACACCTTAGCAAGTTTGAGAATTTCTTTGGGAAAGTTCTGGGGTTTCCTACTATTTTTGTATTTTACAACTCTGTTGAAGCTCTGTGGTGGCATTTGTATGTTTCCCCTTAATTGTGAGGTGTGACTTGAAAACTTCCCTTGTTTTTCATAATCATCTGTTTCGCTATATAGTTCCTGTCATTTCAGAAACCTCTTTCTGTTCTCAATGCACAATTAATATTGCCTTATTTCTTCTGTAAATGATTGTAATTAAGAGTATTGTCTTAACCTTTCAGAATATTTGAGGATATAATTGTTCTCTGACACAACTGTTTTTGGCAGCCACATTTGGGATCATTTTGGAAAATACTAAAAATACTTTTTATCAAGTCTAATAATTAATTGCAAATTGCAGCTAAGCTAGATTTTTTGCTATTCCCCATTTGAGCACTCAGAAGTAAAATAAATATCCAGGAAGTTAATAAGACAGAGTTTCCCGTTTCTGTTCTGTTGATATTTGAAAAATGTCATGTAATACAGAAGTACTTTACATTTGGCTACTTCTCTTCAGAAAGAAAGGTATATTCTAATCTCCTTCAAAGTGTTCTAAGGTTAATGACAGCCTGAATAGATATTTAATTATTAATGTGAATAAGATTAAATGTATCTCCTAAGCCCTTGCCCTCTGTCACTAAGAATTAATTTAAATATTGAGAAGCTTATAGCAGTGCTGTATGTATACTAGTGCACTGTCAGTAACAATTTGTGGCTGTGATGTCTCATAATTTTTGTTCAACTGAAAATCAAATATTCCTGAATTGTCATGGTAGAGCAAAGAGACGCAGAATTTTGAGAGCACCAGCTTGTGCTTTTTATATGGTATTATTCATGATCTATTGTTCTTGGGCTCACAAGTGTTCTCATATTGAGTTTACCACCAAACAAGAATTAGTTTCTGTGTAATAAGTAGTTTATGCTTTTATCTAAAGGCTTGATATTTACATAAGCAGATGAGTCAATTATGTAATTTTTTATCTTTAATTTTGAATATTTCGCATCCCATCTGCTTTACTTACTTAAGACACATTGTTTTCAATCTTGCAATTCATTTATCAATTAGTAAATAATTCTTTAGAAAATCTCTATGGCAAAGAATATTCCTAGGGTGGTCTGATTGAACTTAAGAGCTTTTTTTCTTTTTTTAGTTTTTATGACAGATGAATATTCTCTTCTTCGACACTTAGTTTGGAGTATTTATAACATCAATAATTTAATTTATATCTAAGGTATAAAATTATTACTAAGAAGCTGTAAATCCCAAATGCCTTGGATATTAAATCTAAATTTAAAAAGAACTAACTATATGCAATTAAGGCAAAGGAATCTGTGTGTGTGTGTGTGTGTGTGTGTGTGTGTGTGTGTGTCTGTGTTTGTGTCTGTGTGTCTGTGTGCAGATATTAGGGCTTGAACTCAAGGCCTGGTCATTATCCCTTAGCTGTTTTCACTCAAGGCTGGTGCTCTTCCACTTGAATCACAGATCCACTTGTGGTGTTTGGTGGTTACTTGGAGATAAGATTCTCATAGACTTTTCTACCCTGTCTGGCTTTGAACCGCAACCCTCAGATCTCAGCCTCCTGAGCAGCTAAGATTGCAGTCATGAGCTACTGGAGCCTGGTGATGTTGCAGTTTTATGAATTTGCAAATTGGCTCTGTAGGTCCTTCAACTTGGTTCCACTTTTAAAATTTGCTCTGGCTATTGTAGGATATTCCAGAATTGGCTTGTCAATTCCAACAAAAATATTACTAGATCTATAGATCTAAAGATCAATTTGGGGAGATACGACATCTAAACATTGAGACTTTGTTTCATGACCATATATTCTTTCATTTATTTGAGTAAAAATTTCTCTCAGTAATGTTCAGTAGTTATTAGGGTTGAAAGTTGTTAACTTATTCCTCAATATTTTATAGTTTTAAAATGATAAATGAACTTTAATTTTTTTCCTTTTTCAATTCATTTGCTAGCATATAAAACACAGTTATGTATCTATAAGCACAAGATTTAAAGATTCCTTGGAATTTTATCAGTAAAGAATCACATCATTTGCAAATAGATACATTTGTTCCTTTTATCTTTTATACTCATTTTTTAATAAAAAATAATTTATTGTCAACAAAGGCAATATGTACAACAGGACAACAGGTGAAAGGGAGAATGGGTGAATGGATGACTTTTCAGGGACGCAGTGGGAAGAGGTAATGGAGGCTTCCTGGTGGAGAAGCCTGAACAAGTTGGGGAGGAGGTGTCCCCTGAGGTAGTGGGACTCAGTTCAAACCCTGCTGTGACCACCTCTGCGTAAGGCACTGCGCCAGGGGAGAGTGGTAGGGGGCTAAACATGGGTGGGAGGAGTTGGAGGGGTCACAAATGATTGGGATGGATGTTCTCCACAGGCCCAATGCCCCAGCTTACAACAGCGCCAGCCACCACTGCCTACCTCGGGGGCCTGGCCTCAGACCCAGCGAAGGGCCCACACCTTCCAGTGCCCCAAAGTGATGGAGATGATGCTGTCTGTCTGCCCCTCCACCCTGCCTGATATCATTATTTCTTTATATTACTTCATTACAATGGCTAAGAACTCTAGCACAATATGAATAGAAGAAGTCAG